CAGGGGGAGGACAGCAGCGGCAGGGGCCGCAAGAGTTTTGGAGACAGGTGACAGGACAGCAGGATCCGGCCAGCATGGACTGGCCCGGGGCAGCCAGGACTTGGGTCCGCAGCGGGATGGGGACCACGCAGCATGAAGGGGCTTTGCAGAGCTTGCTCCTGGTCTCCAGGGGAGGAGAGGAAGGGAAGAGGCCCAGGAGCCTGCAGGAGCCCGCCTCACCCCCCCCCCCCCCCCCCCTGCAGGAGGACTCAGTGGCACCTGGAAGGAGCCTTCCTTGTTCAGGGAATCCCGTACCTCTCCCATGTCCTGCAGTAGAGGAGGGGACGCACACCCAAACTGGCTGGTCCCCAGGACCCTTTTCCCCCCCAGTACCCCCCCTCTCATCTCCTGTTCCCACCCGTCTCCTACCCCACAGCTCCGGGAGCTCAGTCCTCCCTCACTCCCAGGGAAGCTCAGTTACAAAGCCACAGACAGCACTGGCCTGCTTATTGAAGCCCCGCTGGCCCACTCCCGAGCGGAGCAAGTTTCTGGCAGAATGGCCCGGGGGAAGGGCGTGGTGGGGCTGGGGCTGGGAGCCCCGAGACAGGTCCACGTGCTGGGAATGTTGGCCGAGGAAAATCATTACCAGGAGTGACCTTGGTGGAGCTGGAGACGGGGCGTGAAAAGACGAGCGAGTATGTGTACGTGGGCGTGGGCGTGGGCACGTGTGTGCACGCTTGTGTGCCAAGCATGCTTGGTGAGTTGGGGAGAGGGGAGTGGTGAACACATTTCGATTCAGTCTCTGCTCTTCCAGGACGGTTGTATACCAGAAACTGTGCGAGGCGCATTTACATCCGCCTGACCACGGGACCTTTACCTCAATCCCTCTGAGGGGCACACGCTCTTTTTGTTTCCATTTTGCGCACGAGGAAAACAAGGCTTCGGAGGTCAAGTGTCTCGCCCCGCATCACGCTGCTGGACCCCTCTCTCCTTAAAGCCCTTCTGTGGTTCCCTGTGGTCCATGGAATAAAGTTCCAACCCCTTAGCGTGGCAGGGAAAGCCTTCAGCGATTGCCAGACCTGATTCCAGGGTGCTTTGAGCTTCCAGTGTGAGCTGCTCATCAGAGGCACTGGCTCCATCTGCCCTGGAGTCCTGGTGATTATGACAGTGGCTGGGCCAGGGGACCGCTGTGCATGCCTTGGTTTGTCCTTCCCTAGGAGAGCTGAGTTTCAGGGCAGGAAGAGGTTCTATATGACTTGGTTGCACAAGAGAGGAAAAAACCAACCAATGCCATTATTGGCTGAGAACCTCACGGTCAGGGCTCATGGGAAAGGAAACAGTCTTACACAAAGGGTGGGGACAGAGCTGGGACTAACCTTCAGATGACTCATCCCCCAGACCCTAAGCGCAGTCTCGCAGCGAGGATCAAAGTCTGAAGAGTGGGCGTGTTGATGCCCACACGGCAAGGACGCGGCGGGTGTGAGGGGGCCCGAACCTACCATGCCGCCAGCCTCCGCTGCAAAAGCCGCTCGACGCCTCACTTAGTTAAATGTATTTCATGTTTTCTTCCTTCAGTCAGCCAGACACGCTCAACCTCCGGCATCTCTCGTGAAGCTAGAAGGAAGGGCAGGAAAGAGAAAACTCCCTTTTTCAACAAGAAAAGAAAAAACAAAATGTCTCCCTGTGCTGTAGCTCCTTCCCCTTCCCTTAAGGGAAAAATATGGATTGGAGAGGTTTCTCGCTGCAGCATTTCCTTGCAGCAACGGTGGCTGTTTGTCTAACTCCTTGTGGGCGCTGAGGATTTACAGCTCGGCATGTCTGGAAGTAGCTTCAGGGAGAAAGACGGTGGAATTTTATTCTTGCTAATTTAAAACAATAATAATTGTTCACGCGTTAGGAAGCATTCCTATTAAATCAAGCCAATGTTTCGGATCAACTGCAGTAGAATGAAGCCGAATTTCCCGATTGGGCCTCTGTTGGCTTTGTGATATTCATTTATCCGCCCAGCTTTTTGTTTCAGGAACCGGCGGCTGATAGCTGACCGAGGCCAGCCCCACGAGGTGCTGTGCGTGGGCAAAGGGGAGATGGGAAAGGATGATGTGGCTCATTCTTAGATGTGGTATGAGGATTCTCACGGGGAACGGGAGGATAGGGTGTCAATCACTCGAACAGGGCTGAGTCCTGGGACCAACAGGGCTCCCCTTGGTGTCTGGGTACCTGGTGGGGCCTTTCGATAACATCAGGAGCCCAGAGGAGGGTTGAGTTCCAGGGAGAGGCTGGCGGGGGGGGGGGGGGGGGTCACTTGGGCATGGCTGTACTTGGCTTGTAGTGCATGTGGGGGCAAACATGACAGGATCCGGGACAGGAGTGGGAAACTGGCATAAAGTGAACGAAGAACTGATTCAGACAGGAGGTGGGCAGGGCTTTGGCTCCTCAGAGAAGTCAGGGGCAGGCAAACTGAGCTCTAAACCCAGAATCAGGCTGAAAGGGGAAAAATAACAGGGGCTGGGCATGCATCTCCAATTGGAGAACAAATCCAAGGGGCCTGGTAGGGACCAAGAGTTGCTGGGTGGTCTGTGTCGAGGGGCGAGATTGAGCTCAAGGCTCTGCGTCTTTGCCGAAAACTGGCCTTTATTGTAACTCCTTGTGCGTGTTGTGGGGTAGACCAGATGCCCACATGCAACCAGGACCTGCACAGAGCTGCGTTTGAGGACCCTTATCCACGGAGCTTGTGGGTCGTCCGGGAGCAGGTGTCTAGGGGGCCACTGGATGGAGCAGCCTGTATCTTAGAAGGCAGGTCTGAGCTAAGGAGAAGAAAATATGAGTTGTCCTCAGAGATGCCCCTGAGGAAGTGGTGCTTCTGGGTTGTTCTCTCAGGGGGCATGGTGGAGCTGAAGAGGTTAGCTTGGGGGACCTGGAACTGGAGGTCTCTATGGCAGCAGGACAAACCACTCTGGTTTGCCAGGGATGGTCCTTGCTTGTGCCTGTGTCCTGTGTCCCGTGTCAACATTTAACAGATGCCCGCTTCTAGTCCCAAAGACCCGGTTTGAATGATAGATGATATTGTTTATATTATCGCGCCATCTAAAACAAATTCAGCAGTCCGTAGACCTGCCCATCTGACTGTCAATCAAGCTTTGACTCAAAGAACCCCTCTGTCTCTTCTCCCGGTGCCAACTGTCTTTAGCTTGGCAACCGTTGCCTTTCAGAACCTCAGTTTTGCAAAAAATGACGGTCCCGTAAATCATTGCATCAGGGCGCCTGGGTGGCTCAGCCGGTTAAGCACCCTACTTTGGCTCAGGTCAGGACCTCGGAGTCTGTGAGTTCGAGCCCCACGTCGGGCTCTGTGCTGACAGCTCAGAGCCTGGAGCCTGCTTCCGATTCCTTGTCTCCCGCTCTCTCTGCCCCTCCCCTGTTCGCGTTCTGTCTCTCTCAAAAAATAAATAAACATAAAAAAAAAGTCATTGCATTTATTTCCCAGCATTGTTGTAACACTGGCACGGATGAGAAAGGTCATTGTGAGCCCTCGAGGGCTCTGCGAGAGACCATAACCTCTTTCTCTGTCTCTGTCTCCTTCTTTCCCTACTCCAGAAATCAGGCCACCACATCACTGAGGCTGGGAAAGCCTGCTGACTCTTCTGTGGCTGAACATAATGACTTCCCTTTCTTTCTTCTAGCCCCTTTCATCTTTGTCCTGAAGATTCCTGAGGCTCTTCAGGGCCACAGAATGAAGGCAGTGGGACTACCAACTCGTCTTATGGGGCCTGAGCTGTGAGGACAGATGAAGAGGCTTTGGGGGAGGAAGGAATGGTAATTAAACTTGTGCCCTGTGACAGCATTTCCTCCTTCAGGTCCAGAAGAAGGTCCAGAACTGGGTCTGCCAAAAAAGCAGCAGAGACTCCATGTACAGAGAGCTAGGACCGGCGGAAGGAGGGAGGGAAAATCCTACTAGCTCTGAGTTATTCATGCCACGCGGGAGATACTGCATGTACTCAGCCTGGTAATGAGACTCGAATCCATAACAAACTCAGTGTGTTGAAGAAACAGGAATATTTGGCCTGGTGAGGGCGTGGAGGCTGGGGAGCCACTGGTCTTATAAGAAAAGATGCATTCCTCTTTCTGGAATGCAGAAACCGGGTGAACCAGGTGGCCCAAGGAGGTAGGGAGTTCCCCATCCCTGGAAGAATGGGAGCAGAAAGTTCTTGGTAGCGGTGTGGGAAGGCAACAAACCATGAGCCGGGGGTGGGAGGGCTGACTTTCAAGGCCCTTCCCGGCCCTGGGCTTCTAGGGCTCTGCCCACACTAGCCCCCGCTTTCGGTAGCCAGCTGCCTCCTGGATGAGTCAAAAGCCAGCCCAGCTCCAACCTCCTGGCTGGGTGGGGCTCCAAGGGAGGCGCCAAAGCCTCCCTCTCCTGCCACGCAAGGCCACTGTATTCAAGGCCTCTGGCAAACCATAGGAGACTCTTAAATACAGAGAACAAACTGAGGGTGGATGAGGGTGGGGGAGAGGGGAAAGTGGGTGATGGGCATTGAGGAGGCCACTTGTCGGGATGAGCACCGGGGGTTGTCCGTAAGCCAATTTGACAATAAATTGTATTTAAAAAAAAAAAAAAGGCCTCTGGGGTGCCTCTTGCAGCCACCACCCTCCTGGAGTCAAGAACTAAATAAATTGGCTAAGGAAGGAGAAAGCAGAAACTATACACACACACACACACACACACACACACACACACACACACACAAAGAGAGGGAGACTTGGTCTGAAATGAGAAACTCCGTCTTGCTCTGGCCTTTTATCATAAGCCCATGGAGATGAATATTCTGACCTAATAATCAAAACAGGCTGTAATTGCAAACAGACTCAGGGCTGCATGGCCGAGGGCAGATGCGATACCTGCTGAGCACAGCAGGCCCGGCCCCGCCAGCCCTCCTCCCACCGCGCGGATCGATGCGGCCGTCCAGCCGCACACCATTTTTTGGCCTGGCTTGCTCAAGCCCTGCTCACATTCTGCCTTCCTCCAGGGGCTCCTGGCTCCCTCCACAGGGACCCCAGCTCAGAGGAAGCCACCCTCCACCTCCATCCCCGGAGGAACGTGACAAACACCAGCAGCATCCGGAAAGACCACGAGGAGGAAGGAAGGGGGCTTTGGTCCCACCTCTCTAGAACTCCACCTCCTCTTGGCTCTGGAAGATGTTCTCCTGGGTGCGCCACCAAAGCCTGGAAGGTCCGCATGTCCCCTCCCTGCTCCCACCTCCTTTATGTGTTTTGTTTCAGGCACACCCTCAGCTCAAATTTGCTTTGAAGGTCAGTAATTTCCACTCTTTTTTTCAAAACAACTGCACAGTTCTTCTGGGACCCAAATGCTGATTGTCTGCACTGAGGAATGAGTCTCCCTCAACAACAAGTACATTCCAGAAATATCCATGTAGCATCTCTAATGGGCAAGACATTCAGGGGAGCCAACGATGAACCAGGCCTGGGTCCGTCCCCAGAGCACCCCCACTAGTGAGGACCTGACCGCTCAATGGAGCCCCTACTATGTTTCAGGTATGATATAAATATCCCAAAGTGAGGATCTCACGGGAGAAGAGACCTAGGCTCAGACATGTAGAAGAGACTCTTCACTGAGCAAACATTTATAAAGCGCCCGCCATGGGCGTTTTGGTACATCGGATACCGGGGCTTTGGACCAACCCCATCCTTGCCTACACAGAGTGGTGGCAGGACACCATCGACGCTCCAGCCCTGACCGTCTGCATCCAAAACAAGTGTTCCCCCGACCCCTCACGTTGCTTGCTTTCTCTTTATAGACAAGTTTTTCCTGAGACAAAGTGAGGACCTCTGAAAGGGCTACTTCCTGATCCCACCCTGCAAACACGTGATAGAGTCCCAAGTTCATAGAGGTCCCTGTTGGAATACTTGACATTCAACTCGGGAGGGTCCTGGCTCTCCCTCCTCAAGTGCAGTCTCCACCCTGGATGGTTGCAAGGCTTCCAGCTGTTCTTCTGGTCCCGTCTCTCCCCTGCAATCTGGCTGACCTTGGGCTGGCACTTCCTCTGTTCCAGAGGCTCCCATGGCTTCCCATGGACTTCGCTTGGACTCTTCAGTCTGCTGTTTCAATCCTCCTCAATTTACCCCCACCACCGTCCCCATCTTTTCCCCAAGTCCTTCCTCCTGGTGCCGTAGACACTCAGCAGCTCGTGTGCCACCATGGGTCTCTCTCTCTCTCTCTCTCTCTCTCCCTCTCTCTCTCTCTGTCCTCCCAGCAGGACAGATGAGCTTGAATCTCTCCCACCGTCTGGGGTCTGGGCTGGTCTTGGATTCCTGCCTTACCTCTGCTTGAACCCTCGTCGCATCCAGGATCCATCCTTTCCCTGACTGGTGCTCACTCTGCCTGAAGGACTTTTCCAAGCTACTTGGAGGGGGCAGAGGAACGCGATTCCCCAGTGCTAGGCCATGGGGCTTTCTGGGCTTTCTCAGAGAGTCTGAGCAGGGCCTTAGGCCAAGGCTATATATGTGTCTCTCTAGGAAGGGTATTTTCCTACTACGAGTAGCATTTCACAAACCAAGGCACCCACCTCAGCCAGAAACTTGCTAGCAGGTCACAGTAAGACAGGGGCAGTGTGACCCGTGGCAGGAGGTGGGGTGGGGGGAGAGGTCGCGCTCTTAGAACGACTGCGGAGATGAAGGCCCCCGCGGAGAGCATTCGTCCTTTATCAAGTGCCGTCAGAGGTGCTAGGCTGGGACTCGACCCCGGAGGGTCTGTGAAGCACCGGAAAAGCCCTCCCTTTTCCTTTGGCTGGCCTAAGAGGGGAAACAGGAAAGTGACCCCTGGCTTCTTTCTTCAGGTGGTTCCATTTCCCCTTCTTTTCTCACTGCCCTCAGGAACAAGCCCTGGGAACTTCGCTTGTAGAGGGACACTGAAGGCGGCACCAGAAGCAAAGTGCTGCTATCTGACGCCCGAGGGTTCCTGCGCAGTGGTCCCCGGCACGCTTGTTTCCTTGCTGACTTACTCCAACAAGCACTCGTCCATCGAGCGGGCCGGTACTGAGCGCCCACTGTATATCAGGCAGCTGGCGAGTGCTGCGGGACCAGGCAGAGGAGCCCCTGCTCAGGCGGGGCCTCAAGTCCCCAGTCCGTTCGCTGGTTACGTAGGATACTGCGAGCAGCCGCCCCGGCCACCCATCCTGTGACTCTGCCAGAGCGCGCTCCGCTTTCCCACGAGGGAGGCTCTGCACGCCTCCTCCAGGCAGCCCTAGCTCTCGGCCTGCTTGGCCAGCCCCTGACCTGGCTCAACTTCACCCAGGACCCCGTCCTCCCCTGGGCTTTGGCAGCAACAGTAGCCAGACCAGTTGCCCGGGGTGGGGGGTGGCATTCCTGGTGGCACCACACCGGATCTGCCTGCAGCTGCTTTCACTTGCCCCCGGGAGGGCCCCACGGCTTCCCCAAGCCCCGCGGGAATTACTCATCCATCCCAGGAACGTCCTTTTATTCCACTGACACAGGAGCCCCCACCGCCAGCCCGGCCCGCACTCAGGGTCGGCTGCGTCCGGGACTTCCGCTTTGTTTCTTTGCTGATGTCCTCTGGTCCCCACACGACCTCTCAGGGTGCCTCTGTGGGTCACCCTCACTACTGGTTTCTGTATCATTAACACTTGGGACCAGGGACCCACAACACATTTGTTGACCAAGTGAATGAAGACATTTGGGATGAAGGTCCTTTGACGAATAAACATTTGGGATGAGGGTCCTTTGACGAATAAACATTTAAGCTTGGTCTTTTTTGTTTTTAATGTTTATTTTTGAGAGAGAGAGAGACACACACACAGTGTGAATGGGAGAAGGTCAGAGAGAGGGGGGAGACACAGAATCTGAAGCAGAATCCAGGTTCTGAGCTGTCAGCATGGAGCCCGACACGGGGCTCGATCTCACGAGCGGTGAGATCAGACCTGAGCCGAAGTCGGACGCTTAACCGACTGAGCCACCCAGGCACCCCATTTAATAAGCTGGGTCTTAAGGAGGGGTAGAAGGTAAATAAAGGGCTGGGAAAGGCCATTCCAGAAAAGGCCAGGGTGTGGACAAAGACTTGGGAGTATGAGAGAGAGACTTAGGGTATAGGGCCTGGGGACAGGGTCCTTGCCACTAAAAAGCATGACATGGGAGTGAGGCTACGGGTGAGGTTACCAGCAGAGCGAGGGCCAGTCGGGAATCTAAAGAACCTTGAAGGACACCGGGGGATTTGGACTTCAACCTGAGAGAGGTCAGTGGCAATGTCTGAGAGAGGGAATGACACCATTTTATTACTTAGTTTTCAGGTCAGTTACAGTGGGTACAGGTAGGACATAGCCTCATGGACACAAGGGGAGAATGATAGAGAAGGAGAATATTTAGAAGGCTCCTGCGGTAACCTCTTTAAAAGTATATTTATTGAAGCTCCAAACAGTGATAAGGGACCAACTAACCTCAAAATACACCATGATGGGGAGAACAATGGATTTTCAAATTATTCTGTCATTTGCATAGAATCAAAGAGGCCACCTTCCTAGAAGGACCCCCCCCCACCCCCGTAATTCTAGCGGCAATACACGTGGGTATTGAATTCGACTTTCCTTTTTGCTGTACAGAAATAACTTGATTTTCTCATGGTTTGGCCACGCAGCCATCAGAATATAATTTTTCAGAAAAAAAGCCAGTCTCATAGCCTCGTTTATCAGGTGGCACATCAGCTTTCCTGGGTAAATGAGACACCTGATTTTTGTTAAGCAAAGCTATATACAATATTTGTCACACAATTATGTGGACACATTTCGCATACCTGCCAGGGAAAAAAAAAGAAGGCCTTAGGGGCTCAAAGCCTTGCCAGGCATATTTATGCGTGTTGGAGGTAGCATGCTGTTCCCAGAACCCTTATCTGTTTTGAAGGCAGAAGATGCTAGAAGTGAAGTCTCTAAGGTCTGTGTTTATTGTTGGGATGTGAAGTGAGGCATCTTCAATCAAGTTAAAGGACACAGAAGACATGCACACGAGTGCCCTGAGCATACACGCACATATGAATCCACACGGCACCCACGTGCACAAACATACACACACACACAAACCCATTCACACACACAACGTTGCCTGGGACTAACACATCAAGCTGATGATCTGGCCTCTAGGATATTATTGCTGGAAAGGATTTTGAAATCATCTGGGCCAACCCCTCATGTAATAGATAAGATAACTCACTGCAGCCCAGAGATGGGAAGACACTTGCTTATAGTAATGAGTTACTATAAGGAAAAGCATGGGGACACCTGAACTCTGGTGGCTAAATCCCATTTCTTTTTTTTTTTTTAAGTTTATTTATTTATTTTTAAAATTTATTTAAAATATAGAGAGAAAACAAGCAGAGGAAGGGCAGAGGCAGAGGGAGAGAGAGAGAATCCCAGGCAGGCTCCGTGCTGTCAGCACAGAGCCTGACGCGAGGCTTGAACTCATGAACCGTGAGATCATGTCCTGAGCCAAAATCAAGAGTCGGATGCTCAACTGACTGAGCCAGCCAGGTGCCCCTAAATCCCCTTTCTATAAGCACACCACCAAGACAATTTTCTTGTAGCAAAATGTTTCTTCTAGACTGTGCTGTCTTCTGCAGGGTTCCAGACTTAGCCAAGAAAACCCGCTTGAGGCAATATTGACGATACCACAATTCTTGTTGGATAACAGGAGCTGGACATGTGCTCAGGATTGGCTTTTATACAGACCAGATTCCGTTCCCCTAGTTCCCTGAGGTGGGCAAAACTTGTGGACGGAAACCAGCCCGGGGAGAGGTGTCTCCGTGCCGTGAGCCTCTTCTGGTTTAATGCCCTTGCTGTGATTTCCTGGAGTCTGGCCCTTTTGGGGTCTGTCCCCATTTAACCCCTAAAAACAGCCCCTCTCTTTCTTCCTTCTCAGATAGACGTGGGGAGGAGTCAGCATCCTCTGTTGGTGTTTAACCGGCAAGATTTCACTGAACACCTGCCATGCACAGGACAGGGTGGGCACAGCATGCTGTAGGCACTCACTGAGAAGTGTCATAACTTCCTGCAGGTCAGGGAATGCCTCTTATCATTCATTCATCCATATGTTGATTATTTCGCTGAACTACCCACATGCTAGTAAGTGATCTCTCTTGCGCTGAAATGCGATGTTTCACTTGCTTGTATGTCATAAGGCCATGCTTTACCATCTTTATGAGTATGGCTTAATGATTTTAATATTGGTATATAAACATCTATTGAACTTTGGTCACCTGGCAGACAAATGATCCCATAGGTGCCTCTGCCTATGTAATGTCATCTTTCTTCTTGCACAGCCCTAGGAGATGGTCATTACTGGTGTTGTTGTTTTCCCGATGAGATTACCTGTAGGTATTTTGCTTCAGGTTACAGAGGCAGGGATGCGACTCATTCCCAAAGACACTGTAGGGTGTGGTCTGAGAAGGCGTCCTGGAGGTGGGTGTCCTTCGAGTTGGACCTGGCAGGGTTGGGAAAAGTAGAGAGAAGAGGATGGAACCTTCTAGAAGAGAGAGAGGGGAGACTTGCGGGCACAAAAAGAAGAGTGTGTCTGTCATGGCCGTCTGTGGCAAACAACAGAATGCAACTCTGGCTGATTCGAGTTAAAAGAGAAACGAGAACCAGGCACAGAAGCTAGGCTGACTGGCTCTTGACAAGGCCACCCTGGTCGTGCTGCTCAGGACTGGCCAGCTCACGGGCCAGCAAAGGCACCAGGGACCAAGGCGGGGGCTGGTCTCCGCAGAGCTTCGGCAGAAGGTCTGGGGTCTGCAGGAGTCGGGACACCGTCTGTGGGCCCATCCCGTGTGCACGGCAGATCAGACCCCCTCACACTGCCTGAGCGCCCTCTGGTCCAGCCCCGGAGCTTCAGTCAGTGGGAGACCTCACCCTGCGGAGAAGGGCCGGCAGGCGTTTCTAGCAGGGGAAGCTTGAACTGAGGTGACTCTCAAAGGATGGGAAGGGCATTCCGGGCCAACGGAGGCCCTCGTACAGCGGGCCTTGAGAAATAGCGCTGCACAGTGACTGAGCCAGACGGTGCTGCCCCTCATTTCCTGTGATAGCCTCTTTGTGCCTCAGTTTCCTTACAGGTAAGAGGAGGATCATGGAGGTATTTGCTGATAGGGTAGTTGTCAGCGTTAAATCCAGGAGGTCCAAAATGGTGAGAAAAGTAGCATGCCAAATGTTCTTGACAAATGTCACTGTTCTGGGGGAGTGTTACCATCGTGGGTGGAAGGTAAGCCACGCGCGTGTGCACGGTGCTGTGTGCGTGCTCAGAGTGGAGGGTGAGGACCGTCCCCGTGGGTCTGTAGGGTCTGAGGCATTGAGAGGCCACTGACCCTTTACCAGCAGGTGACGGACCCGACCGCATTTGTGCTTTAGAAAGTTCCTCGTGGGGAAGGTCAGCGAGGACCGGTAGGGGGTGCACCTAGAGGTGAAGAGACAGAGACGGGGGCCCTCACCAAGCCTTGGCGGGGAGACTGGGGAGTGGGGCCATTTGGGGAATGGCCCGGGCATAGAGTTCACTGGTCTTGACCTTTGATTGGATGAGTGGAATTGAGTGGGGACAGCCAGCTTTCTAGTAGAACAATAACTGCCCAAACTCAGGGTCCGTCTACTGGGGGGCAGGGGAATCAAGTTCAGGGGGCTGGCGGGGGGTGGTTAAAGGGTTGGTGGGGTGGCCTGGGGAAGGACCATGCCTCCAGTTAAGGGACTTATTCCGTGTGCGCGGCCATCCAGGGAGTGACGTCTGGCAGGCAGATGGCCCTGTGGGGCAAGGAAGGGGTTCAGCAGGGAGACCTAAGGCCGGAGAAGGAGATGAGCCATGCTGGGGTGCTTCAGACCCCACGAGAGCATGTACTTACCGGGTCTCATCTGGGAGCAATTTTGTTCCCCAGGGGACGTTAGGCAATGTTTAGAGACATTTTTGGTTGTCATGATTGGTGAGTACTACGGGCATCTAGTGGGTAAGGGCCAGGAATGCTGCGAAACATCCCACCATACACAGGACAGCCCCCTCAGCAAAGACTGATCGAGCCCAAATGCCACTAGTGTCCGGACTGAGAGAGCCCTGATGCCGGGAGAACAGAGGAGAGCCCTGGGCGTGGAAGCCAGAAGGACACCCACATTTTTGGGGACGCCGGGGAGCTCGAATGTCTCCCCAGCTGCGGGAGCTTCTCTGATACCCTGGAGGGGCTAATTCCCACCCAGACTGCTATCATTACAGACCCCATAGGCCTGTGTCACCATTCTCATTGTTTGACTTGAAGGAGGCAGCTGGAAGGTTTCTCTCCAACCCGGGGCCAAGACCCACCAGGCCAGGAAGTCGGCCTTCCTTCCATCCTGAGTCAGCACGCAGCCCCCTGGGCCACCCCACACGGCTGTTGCCACCAGCCTGGTTCAACCCTGATGCCGTCCTCCCCCCTCCTCCCCTCTCTGTCTCTTCCAGGCCACGCAGGCATGTCCCGATTCCAGTGACCTTTGGTGCCTTTTCTCTGTCCACGCCCCAATTTATTGCCGATCTCATAAAAAGCAAAACTTGGGAGAGAGAAGATTGAGTTTGCTTCTCGCAGCAGAATTTGATTTAGGGCCAAGAAGGTGGCAATTGCTGCGAAGCGGAGATCGGCTATTTCGGGAGTGCTGTGAATGATTTTTTCCATCTCCGAATGACCTTACATATATTCTGTCTCCCGCCCGCCCCCGTGTTGGGATTGATGGGGGGTGCTGGGACTGGGCTCCCATGGGCCCCGCTGC